CCCGCGTCTCCTGCATCGGCAGGCGGACTCTCAAGCACTGCGCCACCAGGGAAGCCCTCTGATGTAATTTTTTTTAAACCTGTTTGTTTTCTCAAGAATCCTAGGAGGTTACCCACGCAGGAGAAGAATATCATGGGAGCAGAAGAAGCCCACATATACGTGCAGACTGTTTCAGGAAGTGAGGAGCCCATTCGTGACACTTACCGTCCTGCTGTCGAAGTGCAGAGAAGGAGGGCGTTGTGGTGGCTTATTCCCAGACTGAGCCTGGAGTGATGCAGCACAGCCAAGGAGCAGATCTGGAGCTGGAACAGAGCTGAGCACACAGGGATTTGTGCTCGGAGAGAGGAGAGACGCCACGCTGCTTCTTAACCAATCCAAGTTTCATTTGCAGATCCCGAAAACTTTGGGGTTGACTTTACTCTTTAAGGGACAGACCTGGTAAGGTTCATTCCAACGCTCAGACCTTGTGGTTTAATAAGCATTGAAGTCATTGTGCATCAAAAGGAGCCCTTGGGTCCTGCTCTTGACCCCGGTGGGGATTTGCTTTTCTTTGTGATTTGGGGAAGGGGGTTTGATTTCTCGATGACTTGCCCCCTCATCTTCTTTCATATCCATTTTCTCAAAAAAGCCGTCAGACCTGGCTTCCATGGGCAGGTTGGCCAAGGCTAGCATGGTGCAAGTTGGGATATAAATGAAACGTGCAGGGGATGTGTGAGGAGAAGCAGTTCCTTATTTCTGAACAACTCAGGGTAGAAACCATGTGGAACCACATGCTCCCCGACCACAGGGGCAGCCCACTGCTGCATCATTCATCACGTGATCAGAGGGTATGTAAGGAAGGCAGTTCTGTAATGGGCTCTGTGTCTGTGTGTGGGTGCGTGCGCACGGAGGGTAAATAGGGAGAAGGGAAAGCAGAGGTCGTTTCAAAAGATTATTAGAAATGAGGGCTATACCCATTTTGCGGGCGTGGAGAGAAAGGCACAAGTCCTTGGACCATCATGGGGAAAAACTCATTAGCAGGAAGAAAGGTCAAGAGGACTCTGAGTGGATTAACACAGGACCAAAGGGATGGGCCAAGTAGCAATGTGACTGTCGTCTGAGGGGAGCCCATGGACAGTGTCATCATCGCTTCTGTGAGGAGGCTTACTGGAGTCCTGGTTCCCCTATGCAGGTCCATTGCTTGTGAGCAGGCCGAGTCTCCTGGTGGGAGAACCTGGGTCCAGGGCATCTTAGGGCCCACCCACCAGCTCCATGGGCCTCCTTGAAATGCTGTGGAAATATTCCTTTCTCACACGGGGAGCCTGATTGCGCAGAAACACACCTCCTCCTCTTCAAATAACCAAGGACAGGTTATACACGTCCAATCACTGCCACGCGCTGACACGTGCTCTTCAAAGCTCTTTGTGAAATTCAGTTTTGTACCAAGTCCACTGAGTCTAGTCACGTTAACAAGCAGATTTGTCCGTTTTTAAGCGGACATGCCCAGGGATGCAGGTGCTTATACTTCTCTTACACGTTGGGAAGGACCTTGGATTTGCTGAGAACATGGCTGTGGCCTTAGCCTTGACACTCAAAGGTCTGAGCTCTGGAGCATATCATGGGCCTTAGCTCTCTATGTACAAAATGGAGATAGCCGTTTTCTTCCTCCTACCCTTAGGGGTGTTGTGAGGCTGAAAAAGGCAAGTGAATGAGCCTTGTAGTCTGTAAAGTGAGACTTGTATTTTGGATCATTTATTTTAATTCTACTTGCAATCCATTACTTAGTATCTTTATTTTAAATGGTTTCTACTAAATTAGCTAGGTTCAGTATTTCTGTCATTTTTTTTTTTCTGCTATGATGCACAAGAACTCATTTTAGAATAAAGTGAAAAGCAAAATGGTCATTCTTGTGGACCTTCAACACGTCTATGGTGTTTCTTCGCCTATATTAAAGTATATGACATTGACCCTGGGGTTGGAATCAAGGGTATCCCAGGGATATTCCTGGCGCTGGCACTTTCTTGGCTGGGCTCGTGATGGAGATGTTCAGTCCTTCACAGAGGGCAGCCCACGTTGTGAGGAAAATGCTGAGACCAGAAGTCAGAAGCTCCAGCCCCCCAACCTAGGGTCGGTGCTAGCGTTGGGATGACCTTGGGCCAGTCACATTCTAGAAAATGCAAACTAATCAATTGTGACAGAAAGCATATCAGCAGTTGCCCGGGGATGGTGGGGTGAGGAAGGGTGGGAGGGAGAGATTACAAAGGGCCACAAAGAAATTTGGGGGGGTAAGGATATGTTCTCTATAGTGATTGTTGTGATAGCTTTGTGGGTGTATTACACATCAACACTTATCAAATTGTACACTTTAAACATATAATCTATTGAAAGTCAATTCTACCTCAATTAAGCTTTTTTTGTTTGTTTGTTTAAAAAATTCAAGCCACACAGAGTCAAAATCTCTCCTTCTTTATTCAGCATTTTGAACAAGGAGAACAAGAGGACATGGGAATGTGATTGGTGTCCTAGAAGGACAAATGCAGTCTTTCTCTGGAGAAGTTAGAAATAGACAAAAATAGATTCATGTACTCAGTGCCTAAAATGTAGAATGAAATCTGCTCTCAAGGGCTTTCAGTGTCAGCCTGACCTGGAGACCTGAAAAGCTCCCGACACCACATGTACTGCAGAAGAATTTTACCCCGAAGAATGATGGGCAAGTTACCCAAACTAGAGGCAAAATTAGGACTCCTTTAAACCTAGTTTAGGAAGATGTGAATTCCGTGAAGTTGTATGCAAATTTTATATGCTTAATTATTATTCAGGGGCCAAATTCCATGATTCCCTTCAGATTCTCAAAGGGATCTGCAACACCCTCCCAACAGTTAAATGTAAACAGTGGTAATTACAGTTGAAGGTTAGCGACAAAGATGTCAAATTTAACTTTTCTTAAGCGACTTGTTGCCACACATTTAATACAAACTGATTTGAAATTAGTAATGGTTGTGCCTTGTTAGTTTAATAATTATATTTCTATAGAGAAAGGAAAATGGAGGGAAAAATTAACCTTTCCTATATAGATGCCTGTTTTCATGAAGGTCATGGAGATTATTTGCTAAGAATACTTGGTAAGAATTATAGGTAAGAAGGCTGAGTGTGAGTTTTGCTGTATTTCACATCATGTTGCATCATGTTGGAAAATCATTCAGCCTCCAAAGGAGATCCTGTCCCCCATCATCATCATCATCATCATCATCATCAATTTTGCAGCAAGAAGGTAGAGATGGTGAAGGTGAATAACCTCACTCTTTCTGCCTCCTGCCCCCGGGTTAAGGGAGGCTAAAACACTGGACACACTTTCGGACTTGTTTCTTGTGAAAATATTATCCCCTACATACCAGGGACATGTAGGATGCAAAATGGATTGCAGGCCACAGTGCCATTCGAATCCAAGTGCACCACAGTGAGGGTCATGAAGAGTCTCCCTTGTTTCCAACTTCAGCAAAGGAGCTGGATTTCTTTAAAACAGTATATTCTTGTCCTTGGTTTTACAGTGCCAACCCGTATGAGAGAACTGATTTGTCTTCTTAAGTCGTATGCCTGCCTTTCTGGGAAGCAGTCCCCAGGTGCCTGAAAGATGCCCAGATTATATGAAAAAGACTAATCCCTGTTACATTTATAGCACTTTTTAGTTTTCAAAGCACTTTTCATTCATTATTTTGTTTGATTTTTACACCGAACCCAGGAGGTAATGCCGTGTGGGTGTTACTTATGTCCATTTTACAGATGAGAAAACAGGGGCTCTACAAAGGTAATTTTATTGGTCCTGGAAATTGTAAAGCAAATTGCTTTTGAGGGATGATTTAAGTTCGCAGAAAGAGTAAAGGATAACGAGTTTAATTGATAATAGAGGTGGGTTTCTGTACTGTTCTGGGTCCTTTGATATACATGTTGGAGGGAAGGGTTTGAAATACTTACAGTGGTGTGAATTAATTGATAAAAAGTGCATTCAAAACAGATAAAGTTGACTCCCACTATAGCTCCCATCTGTCCGTAAGAGATAAAGGTCGGTGAGTACCCGAAAGTCCCGGTAAAGTAGCCCTTGATTTCCAAGAAACTCCAGAGTCATGGGACAAGACCTTTGCCTCCTGTCACCCTCAGCCTGGTGCCTAGAGACTTTCAGGTGGCGTAGCTGGTGCTGGTCAGGTCAAGACAGGTTCCAGTCTGGGGGTCCAAGAGCCAGGAAAGTAGTCCTAATCTTCACCACCTCCTGTTCTGGCTTCAGGGGGTTGGTACTTACTGGTATAAAGCACTGCAAGTGAAGCACTGGCAGTGTACTTAAATGTTACTTCCCCCAAGGAAAGTAACTTGTTCTTTGGTCCTTCACAATACAAAGGATCCCAGATCAAGCACTTTACAGTGTTAGCTCATCTAATCCTCCAGCAGATGCAAAGGGAGAAACCATTATCATCTTGATTTCACAAAAGTGGAAATCAAGGCTCAGAGAGGTTAGGTAACTTTTCCAAGGTCACACAGCTAGTAATGAGGGGAGCCCGGCCTGTGTGCATATTTTCTGCCGAATCAACAGAGACTCTGGCATTAACTGTGTGACTCTGGCAAGGCCAGGGCCTCTCTCCAGACCTTTGTTCATCACCTGCACAACAAAAGGGGTGGACTAGGATGTCTCCAAGTTCCTGTTCAATATTCTTGGGCTTCTTTGGTCTGCTATTATGTTGTACTTGCCGCCGAAGGTTCTCTTGTTTGCCACCAGAGGGCGGTCTGCTCCCAAACCAGGAGCACTGGGGAACGCTGAGTTCCAATTAATAGTCGCCACCTTAATTGATAAAATTCTGGGCAAGAACAAAAATTCGTGTGCAGCTTTAGCAGAGGGAATTTGTGGAATTCCTAACAAGGCTTTCCAAATAAGAAAGTTACCCCAAGAACCCCTGTTAGAATCTTTGCTGTTCTCATGGGGAAACTCCTCCATCACGTACCTCCTAGGGCTTTTGTGTGGTGGGGACCTTGAGAGAATCAGCGCTGGGCAGTTGGTGAGTGAAGGTAAGCAGGCCACCTGCACGTTTCCCAAACATCAGCCCCCTGTGCTCCTCTACCTTCCCTCCCGATTCTTGCCATGTCCCCATCCCACTGGTAATATTTACTAAATGTTTTCTCTTACGTTGATTCATTTTTCTCACTTAAATAAGTGTACTCAAAAGGGAAGCTTTATATCACTATTATAAATGGAAAAGCATTATTTTTGTAACATGTATGAAAATAAACACCTTTCTAGGATATAACCTCCGTGCTTAGAATCAGAGAGTTTTGTTCTGTTCCATGCCCAATGCCTAGAAAAATGAGTTACTTAGTAGGCACTCAGTGAATATTTTTTATTATATCAGTACAAAGATATTCATCTACATACTACCTAAATAATCTTGAATATCATACTCGGGAATCACTGGGGCAGTGGAAGGTACTAGGAGAAAACTTGGTGGATTTGGGGATTTGAGGCTTGTGAACATGACCTGCCATGTGATGTCAGACCATGAGGCATTTCTCAGTGGGAGTAGCTGCTGTCCACTCCCCCCCACCCCATTTCCCCAGCTCACCTTAGCCAGCAACTCCAGATGTGACACGTGTACATATACCTGAAGCCCTGTCCAGCATATAACTGTTTTCAGCCTGAACTGTCTTTTGGTTCCCGGATAGGCAAAA